TTCAGCAGCTTTCTCCAGCATACCACGGACCAGTGCTGGCTTCCAGGGGGCCTCTGGTCCCTTCAAGTTAGGAGGGTTTCCCGTCATCAGGTCACTGGCCCTAGCTCCTTCTGACATGACTGACCCTCCTCCTCTTCCACGTACAGCTGGTGGAATGTGGAACATGAGTTAATAATGGGCATGGTCTAGGGTGCCCTGGGCTCCCAAAGCCACAGCCAGCTGAGCCGCATTTGCCTTGGTCTCTTTCCATTACTTCCCTTCTCAAACACTTGTTGCACAAGGTGAAGACGCCCACCTCCCTGGCAGACCGAGTGGCTACTGAACGTTCCCCGAGGCCCTGGCTCTGTGGCCCGGGTGGGAGCCTCCCTTTGAATGCCAGCACCACAAACCTCCCACTTCCACTCCGACTCCTATCTGTGTGCTACAAACCTTGCCTCCGGCACAAATTCTCTCTTGCCAAACCAAACCTAACTCACAAACTTGAAGTTACCATGGACATTCCGAAGAGCACACGCGTTCACAGAGTCCTAGCGTTTTCTGTTAAGAGGAATTTGCTATCAAATGGGCTCGGTTAGTGTGGCAGTGCCAGGAGAGAGTGAAGAAAGAGCAGCCAGAGACCCCTCGCCTGCATGCCTCCATTGCCCCCCTCTCCCCGCGAGAGCCATGACCTTGACAGTTCAGGGTGAGCCAGCAGCAGAGAAAAGTCTCGCTCCCTCCCCCAGTCCCCAGTGCATTTGGAGAGGATGGTCCGTAGTTGGCATGGAGGGAAGCAAACGGAGGTGGTGCTGATCGACTCTACCGGAGATGTTGATGGGCACAATGTCAGAGTGCGTGGAGCAAGGCTGAAGCCACCGCTTTTCCTCTAGGATGGGCAGAGGGGAGGGGCTATTCCAGGCAGCTTGCTTGTCGGCTGTGGTCAACAGGCTCAGGGAGGCCTCAGAGGCCCTCACACCCTGGGTGGTGGTCTCATCCTCGCTCAGCTGCCATTTTGTAGGCTGTTGGGAAAGAAGGTGATGGGAAGGGTGTGCTCCAGACGAGATGAGCCATGCCCATGGGATGGCTGTCTAGACAGGGTGGTCAGAGGCTTCGTCTGGGAAGCAGGGAAGTGTGGACGGGCTGCCAGGCCAAACACCTGCTGGGTTGGGCCCCTCTCGGCAGGGTCTCAGGGTAGCTGTGCTGGTGAGGAGAGGTGAGCAGCAGCTTCCGGTGGGTAAGGTACACGGCTCGAGGTCCCCCATCAATGAGCGCAGAGAGAGCTCTGCCCTGCTGGCTTTCACAGGTGGGGGAAGAGGCAACTCACCATCGATACAAACTCCAGACGCCTGCCCGCCTGAGGCCTTGGGCTAGGAGTGGGCTCAGGGGCCTCATCAGCAGAGCGGAAGGTCTGCCCCAGAAGTCTGGCCTCCGAGTACTGTTCCTCATATTCTTCTGAAAAATAGCACAGTGGATACACACTCTAGGGGGCCACAGCCAAGCACTGGGCTGGGAGAGGACCGCAAGCTGGGGCTCCTGCTCTAGCTGCCCGGCCTGACTTGCCTTGTTTCTTTGTGGTTTGGCCCGGTGTCCGAGCCTCTGGCTTCGGAAATGGAAAAATGCCTACTCCCCAGGACTACAAGGGCCGAGGAGAAAAGTCGGTAGAGTCGAGTTGCGCTGGTTCTGAGACCAAGCCTGTGTCTTGACGGTCCCCACCTTAGGTGCTTGACTTGGAGGAGAGGCTCAGGGTGCAGACACCTCTTGGTCCTTTATCCTCTCTCTGAAGCCCTGCGGCTCCTCAGGTTTTCTGCAGGCCTACCAGGGAAAGGACCTGTCGGAAGCATGAAGAAATCTGCACTGGGAAGTCCAACATGCAGTGCTCCCTTGGGTCTCAAGAACTCTCAGCTGAGCTTCCGAGGGCCTGGTTCCCTGCACCTTCGTCCCACTGTGGGTGGTTGTCAGGTCCAGGGGAGCTAAGGTGAGGGAGAGGGAAGGCAGAGGTAGTGGCAGAGAAGGAAGGAGAAGTTGAGGGGCATCGCCAGCGAATAAGAGGGATGCACAAGGTTTGAATGGCCTTCACTGAAGTGATGAGTTCGATGAGTAGATGAGGAACATGAGAGAGCAAAGAACCAACGGGGGCGGGGCTCTCTGCTCATCTGAACAAAGACTTTAAGACTCATAGAAACTTGGAGGCTGAGGGGCCTCAAAAGTCCTCTGGTTCAACACCCCATTCTGGGCTCAGAGTTCCTCCTCAGCAGCCCTTCTAGATGCTTCTTCAGCCTCCACACAGACCCGCAGAGAAGGGGAGCTGCCGTCCTCCCAAGGCAGCTCATTCCATCCAAGGACAGTTGGGGCCGTGGCAGGAAAGCTCTTCCTTATCTCGAGGTGAAATCTGCCTCCCTCCATGTTTCCTCCACCCACTGGTCCCAAATCTGCCCATGTTGGCAACATAGAACACACTGACTCCTTTTCTGCATGGCAGCTCCTCTCTTATCTGAACACAAGGCTCGTGGTGTCCTTTGGAATCTTGCTTCTCTAAGGTTACCACTGCCCTGGCAAGGGAGGCGAGGGTTTGGGCTAGAGTCCAGTTGGGTGGTCCAGCTACCATTTTCTACTCTCCATAAACCTTCGTTGGTATGGGTAAACGAGAGCTGACAAGACTTCTTTTCGCACTTAACGTTCACTCAACAAATGCCTACTGAGTACCTCTTGGGGAATCCAGCTCTGTGCGGGTGCTTCTGGAAACGCGAGGGTACTAAGAGATGTGATTCTTTCTGTCGAGAAGCTTGGTTGGTCGGGTTAGGTGGACGGACAATAAGCCCAGTACCAGTAGGTGAATGAGTTAATGAATGAACAAATGATATAAAAAGCAGTTCAGAACTATATAAGTCCTCTGGAGCTGGATAGCCCAAGGTGGCTCACAGGAACACTGGTGAAGGGAATGAGCAAAGTGTAGAACTAGTGTTAAAGCGTTTTGAATGAGGCAAGAAGAGAACTGTGAAGAAAGTGTAAGGACTGGAAGTAGGAAGACATGGAGGAAGGGCTTCTGGGTCTGGAAGAGAGGCCTCAGTGGTTCAGCGAGTGCCTAGAGTAGGCTATGGAGTTTGTGACTACCACTGAGATTTTATTCGTATTCATTACTTCATGGAGATATAACTTACCTATAGTAAGGTGTACAAACAACTTCAGTGCACAGCTCAGTGAATTTTGACATATGCACGGCCCTTGTAACCTCCGTCCAGGTACTGTAACACCCCAGTTGTCTCTTTCACAGCACCGAGTTTTAATCTCTTTGCGACTTACATTGGCTTAATCCCTCCATTCAATGTGTATGGTTTTTGTATTGTAAGGTCCTATCAGCGACTGCACTGTTTTCTCTTTTGTGTTAACTTTAATACGGTGCCCAGCTAAGCCTGTGTTCCAAAGGACACGTATTGGGAGTTGACAGTGCATCTTATCGGGGTCTCTCCAGCAGCAAGATACTCTTACTGAGCAAGTTACATACCATTTTTAATTCTCACAAAACTGTGTGCCACACGGGAAGCTGGAATCTCACTTTAAAGATGACTGATTCATCGGAAGCTTTAGGTAATCTGCATAATGTCCCACAGCTAGTTAGGTGAGGGATGGGAATGAGATTCTAGCTCTGTCTGATTTCAGAGATTGGATTTTCTCACTCTGCCCAGTGCATGCAGTCTGACTGCTCAGGCACCATGACTGGGCCTTTTGTCCAGGTCGTGTGGACCCAGCTTTTTGTACAGCATGCTCCACTGTATACTCCAAAGACACTGGGCTGCAAATTGGGGATGAGGAGACTCTGGGTGCTGTGTCTCGGGCTTACTTCTTTTTTGCTTTTTTTTTTTTTAAAGTAGGCTTCACGCCCAACATGGAGCCCAACGCAGGGACTGAACCCACAATTCTGAGATCAAGACCTGCTCTGAGATCAACAGTTGGTCGCTCAAGCTCAACCAACTGAAAGTCGGGCTTACTCTCATGAGGCAGTTGCTCCCCAGGAGACAAATGGATAGGTTGTGGCAAGAGCAGAATGGGTGAAGCCCCGAGGGGGAGAGACCCTGCAGATGCCTCCATTGTCCTTGGGTGCCAGGATTTCAAAGGCCTGGGCAACATGGCAAGAGAGGGTCTAGAAGGTCTGTGAGCCCACCCTGTGAATTTCTCCCCTGGCTCCCTTTGTAAGTGGCTTGACCACTGCCCTGCTTCTGCCTCTGCCCTTTTCTCCCTCGTGGCCTCCTGAACCGAAAAATAAAGGGGTGGGGGTGGAGTGGGGTGGTGGTGGCGAGTAAACAGCCCGAGAAATTGAGGCCTCTCGAATCATTTAGTCTGGAAGGTAAAAAGATGGGGAGATGTGTGTGGTTTTTTGTTTTTCAGTGGGGCTTAAACTGTTCTCTCTCTCTCTCTCTCTTTTTTCCTCTTGCTGGTCCCTGTCCTCTTTCTTCTTCGCCTCCCTCCAGCGCTGCGCATCTCGCCTGTGGGCTCCGGCCGCAGCCCCCCTCCCTCTCAGTACCTTGCAACAGGCTCTGGAGATTGAGCTGCGCCTCTCGAAGCAGCTCCTCTACACTCGGGGGCCTGCCCGAGGAGAGGAACACGTTCACTGGCTGTCGCCATGACGACCTCGAGTGGGCAGTCGCTGTCGCATTTTCCCGACCCGAGTTAGCTGCAGCTAGGGAAGGAGAGAGTCAGTGAGAGGCGCAGGCGGGGGGCGGAGAGGTGGGGGGACGGGGGGAGGGCGGCGCGCGGTGGCCAGTGGGCGCCCGCGGTTCCCTAAGCCCCGCCCTGCCGGGGGCGGGGGGGCGGTGCAAGGCTGCGCTTAAAAGGCGGGGACTCGCCAACCGCAAGATTTTTCCTCGACAGATCCTGCCGCAGTCCACTCCCTCCCGCTCCGCCAGCCTCCGCCCGCCCCGCCGCCGCCTGCCGCCTGCCGCCCGCGTCCTCGGCGCCTCCCGGCTCCCGCCGCCGCCCGCCCTCTCTGATCACCCGGACGAGGTAAAGCGCCCCGGGCTGAGTGAGCCCCTGGGCCCTCCGGCCGGAGCGCCCGCCCTCCGTGCTCGCCCCAGTGGGTGTGGCTCGGCCTCTCCCGCGCCCCGCCGCGACACTTCGGTCCCCTCCCCCCGCACGCGCCCCACCGCGGCATTTCAGCCTCCCGTCGCGGCCTCCAGCTCCCCACCCCCACCCGCGCCCCCGCCCTCAGACCCAGGGCCCCTGAGCTACTCCTAATGTCCGAGGCCGCAGGAAATCTAAACAGCCTGCGCATGGCGAACGTGGCCCTGCGAGAAGAATTAAATGCCCTTCGCGGGGAGAATGCCAATTTGGGCCTTCAGCTCGGCAGAGCCCTAGCCGAGGTTAATTCCTTGCGGGGCAATGTGTCGAGCTACATCCGCTGGCCAGTGCCGGTGGTGCCCGTCCTTGCCGAGGAGAACTTTGACTTCCCGCTCAGCGAGATCGACGCAGTTCCCGAGGGGGATCTGCCTTTCCTGTGCTGGCCTCCCCCTCGCGCAGAGCCCGAGTACGCCTCGGACGAGCTGTTGATTAGCGTGATCCAAGATTGCGGTACCTCCGACGCGCCCGTCGACCCTCCCCCGCGGGCCATTCCGCCCCCGCCGGCGCTGCCCCCGCCCCCAGCCAAGGAGCAGCCCGCGCAGCCTCCTCTGCTGCCGCTGGTGCGGCCGGAGTTAGAGCCCTTCTCGGGAGACCCGGTCTACCTGGCCGAGTTCCTGATGAAGCTAGAGACCTTCATAGCAGACCACGAGGATCATTTCCCCGGGGGCACTGAGCGGGTGGCCTTTCTGATCACCTTTTTCGCTGGCCAAGCCAAGAACTGGGCCATCTCTGTCACCCGGGAGGGAAGCCCCCTGCGTGCCAACTTCCCACGCTTCCTGGATGAGATCCGCAAGGAATTCTGCGGCCCCATCCCCCCGAGCGTGGCTAAAAAGGCCATCCGCAAGCTTAAGCAGGGGCACTGTACCCTAGGCAGCTATGCAGATGCTTTTCAGTTCCTGGCCCAGTTCTTGTCTTGGGATGACCGCCGCCTTCAAAACCAATTCCTTAAAGGCCTGTCGGAATTCTTCCGCAAGGAGCTCTTATGGTCAACTGAAATGGCCGACCTGGACGAGCTGATTCTCGAATGCGTGGAAATAGAAAGAAAAGTGCGCGTGCCCAAGCCAATCCCACTCCCCGGGGTCCGCAACATCTTCTTCCCTTTCGCTGCGGACCCCAACGCAGACACCGATGATGAAGATTTCCACAGTGACGAAGATGAAGAGACACGCAAGCGCAGGCTTTACGACAGGGAGCAGCGGAGGCGCGTGAGAGCTGTTCAGGAGGAGACAAGGGAGGAGGAGGAGAGGAGGAAGAAGCAGGAAGAGATGCGGAAGAAGCAGATGGAGGAGATGAGGAAGAAACTGGAAGAGAAGGAAGAGGAGGAGGACGACGAGGACGAGGAGGTGGACGTGGACGAGGAGGTGGACGTGGAGACAGTCAAGGATGAAGAGAATAAGGGCGATTTTGTGTGCCCGGTCCCGCAGCCAGACCCTGACGCCGACCAGGATGGGGACCAGGAGCCGGAACCGGAGTCCGAGGATGAGACCCAAGACGATGACCTGGATGAGATGATGGAGATGGAGCCGACTGTCGCCCACGCTTCATCTCAGACCACTGGCTACTACCATGAGAATTTCCTAGACGCATCGCCTCCCATCATTCAGCCCAGCCGGAGGAGGAACCAGAATCGCGTCCCGCTTCTGGAGGGCCTTCCGGGCACTAATTCGCCGTTCTACAGCTCGCCCCCACTGATTCGCCGCGCAGGTCGCCTGGGGCAACGCCAAATTCGAAGACGCCCGCCCGTGCTGTTCCGCCTCACTCCGCGACAGGGGGGCCACCGGGCCGCACGTGGCCGAATTCGCGTGTGAGCGCTGGGGCGAGCTCGCCGCGCAGAACACACCCTTCGACAGCGTCCCCTGCCCCTGCTATCGCTGCCACACCTGCCCTATTTGCTGACCAGTACTTGAGGGAGTTCCAGACCTACAGAGCCCGCAGAAGACCTGCAGAACTCCAGATCGTCTTGCAGCCATGACCAGAGAGGGACCCGTGTCCAAGCAAGGCCACCTGAGAAAGAAGGAGTCAGCAATAGCTGTCCTCTTGGAGCACACTCTGCTCAGTCTTGCAACAAGCTAGAGAGCAGGGTTCTGGGCCTGTTCCCATAAAAGAACTGGTCACCTTCTTGTAATCCCCCTCTAGTTGTTCCTAACCCTCACTTCTCCTGCGTTTATTCACCCTGTGTTCTACGGTTTTATCCTTGGACTGGCTCACCAGGACTTCACCCAATGCCTCACTGAACTGCCCCCATGAGCTAAAGGACAGGCCATACCGAACTCCTAAAGCCACTGAGGCCACTTAGATATAATTGAAGGAGAGCAGGATGGTATCAAGAGATGTATGAAAAGCCGACGCTGGCTTCAAGTCCCCCGTCCAGCAGAAGGGCCCTGAAGAGAACCCTACATCCAGCCCAGTGAGCGTGCACAAAGCCACATGTCAAATGGACAACATGGCCGAGATCTGCTCTTGACTGACCCAGCAAGCTGGTTCCTCCTCCCTACAGACTCCTGTATCAGGGCCCTTGGACCCGCTCACCAAGTCTGGGACCCTCTCCTCTTACCACACTGCCTTCCCAGGCATCCCCAGGAGACAGAGCCCAAGGTTACAGGCTCTAACCCTTCTCTCCATGTTGCCCAAAGGGTGGAGGAGGGGTGGGGGAGGAGGGGGGAGAGGAGGAAGGGAGGAGGAGGATGAAGCAGCAGCAACAACTCAGCTTGACATTGTAAGGAGTGACTCTTTCCTTAGGGACGGTGGTCTCCTTCCCCGGCCAGGCCTTGGACTGCAGCCCCCAGCCAAAGGTCTTTGCAGGAGACTCGCCATCCTTGAGGTACCAGAGGAGGCCCAACTGGCCTTTCTTTCCTGGACTGCCAAAGAGAGAGAGGGCCTGAGGCCTGCTCTTTAACTTCGACTTTAAGGATTCCTTGGTTCTGAGAGGAGAGAGGAAGGTTCTGTCTCCAGCCTTGCAGCTGGGACGTCCTCCTGTTTCTCACATGGGGGCCAAGCCATGGCCGGGTGCCGGGCTTCGAGTAGACAATGAGGCTTAAGAGGGTGACTGCCTCCTAGTAACTCCTGGGACTTCTGGGTACAAACCCAGCCCCCCTCCCAAGAATCCTGCTGCTTCTCTTGGGTCCAGAAAACACTGCTTCAGCAGTGAAAAATATATACTATGTCACTCTGGGCCCAGAATGCCAGCCAGATCCACTGCTGGCCTGAACTGCCCTTAGCACTGAGCTTCGTGCACAGTGCCTGGCAGCTGGGCAAGTGCAGCCACAGTGTCTGTGGCCGGAGGGAAGAAAACAGAGTAAATTATGCCTCTGTTCCTCACTGGAGTCTGACATAGAACCTCAGCCCAGCCTTAAGAGTTTGAGCCTGGAGACAAGCGGAAGGAGCTGGAGGAAGAGGAGTCACAGAGAAACCCAGTCCTCTGGCTGGTTTCTGGTGAGGTCTCTATTCGTCAGTAGGAGGTAAGAAGCCCTTTTTGCTTATAACACCCTTGGCAGCCTGGGGAATACGGGGAGCCAGGTTCCTAGAACCTGTTGCTGCCTTTTAAAAAGGCTCCCCCCTCCTCCAAGGAGAAAAGTAACAGATAATCATAACTGAAATTTTGGAAAATAGAGAAAACTGTTAAGGACCGAACACCCCCAGGCATTCAGAATCTGGCCACACGAACGCAAGTGCTGTTAACACTTTGATGCCTTTCTAGCATGTTCTCCCTCTGTCTTTTCAAAGCTGAGATCATGCTGTAAGCTCTTAATCAGCAGGATTTAAAATGGCTGCCACCTATGCAGTCATGCATACTGAATAATTTATTTAAGCAGTCTCCTAATTTGTTGGACATTTTAATTGCCTGGTTTTCTCCACTCCTGCCAGTATAGGAGTCAACAACCATGTAAAGAAAATTTTGTCTGTTTTTCAGCTATTTCCTCAGGAGAGAGTTCCAGAACGGGAACGGCTATCCTTCAAGGCTGTGGATCCTGTTTGCTGACGGTCAATGCGCTGGGCCTGCTGCCTGCATCCCTGCTGGAGAAGTGCAAAGGACAGGTGCCTTGCACCCCTACCTCCAGGGACCCTTCGGCATAGGCCCTGCTGTTCCCGTGGTGCCTCTCACCCTGAGCCCTTGTAGACTCAGCCAGGGAAAGAGCGGATGAGCAGTGAGCTGGTTTCTGGCCCTTTGGTGGCAGGGGGGCTTGGGCTTCCCTTTGACCCTCTTCCCCCACCTTTCCTAGATCTTTAATATTTGTTGTGACGTAACAGCCACAAGAGCTGTAAGAGGAACTATGGGCTTTGGGTGCTTTCTTGGGTTGAAAGAAGGGGGGGTGGGGGGTGGGGGGTGGGGGGGGAATGCATGCAGGGGTACAAAGGCAGCCCAAGGATTCCCAGAGACTCGGGAGGAAACCCATTTGAAACAAATGTGTTATCGTTATTGTGTTATTGTTGCATTACTGTGTTGTGAAGATAAGAAATTGTTCTGTATGCTAAAGCTTTCTCCTCAATAAAAATATAAAGGGTGTGTAAAGACCGTGTCTCTCTGGATCATTGAGCAAACAGACATAGGCGGGCACTCAGTAGGCATCAGAGATCATTTCCCAGGCACCTTGCCTGAATCAACCCTAGCCCGAAGCCTTGCAGTCTTCAGATGAGGAAGCTAAGGCCCAGCCAGCCCCCAGGGACCTGCAGAGAGTCCTACGCACTTGGGGATGGCAGTTGTTGGGAGAGAGGGAGGTAAAAAGACTAGTTATCTTGAAAAATAGCATTAGTTCCCCCCTGGTCCTATCATCCTGTAATGGCACCTCTCCTGGCCGCCAACACACACACGCACATGCACACACACACACACACACACACACACACACACACGCGCGCGCGCGCGCGCGCAAGCGACATTGAAGGGAGGGTGGGAGGCCAGGGCCGGTGACGCGGGAGGGCCCTTCCACTTTGGGGCACTAGGTGGTGCTACCGGACATAACCAAGCTGGCGGCTGCCGATTCTTGAATCCGCTCCCCAGAGCAGTTCACACACAGACCCTCCCTCCCAGCAAGATTTCACTGCTCCTCCAAGACTCTGGGGTCAGAAGAAGCTGAATCCCCTTCTTGGATTTGCTAAGGTTTCCCAGCTATGAATTGGAATTCCCCCACCCCCAGCCCTGGGACAGCGGGTGGGAATGTTTACTAAGCCCCCTCCCAGGTACCAGGGTTAACACCGGGCACCTTACATCCGCCACCGCTGTCTCTTCCTCCTACAGATGAGGGAACAAAGGCTTAGAGGGGAGCAGTCACAGGCCCAAGGCTTATAAGGGCTAGTGGCCTTCCCACAGCTCCACAGCCGCCCATTAGGCAGAGCTCTTTGCCTCCACTCCCTCGGTCCCAGGGCCTCCCCTGCTTACAGAGCACAGTGAGAAACAAAGCCCTGTTTCAGAAGCACATCTGCTTTGCCCCTTTAAGACAGAGGAAGGCATGGAGGGAGCGGGGAACCAGCATGTAACAAATCTCATTTCATTCCCACAAGCCAGTACAGCAGGTTAATGTGTCTTCGAGAGCTGAAGGATCTGAATCTCAGTGATATTAGGTTCCATGCGGGGACTCGGGCTTCTGTGACTCCCAAAGCCATACCCTCTCACCTCTAATAAGGCCATGCTGATTCCAAGGAAGCCCGCTGAGCAGCTCAGGTCTCAACCTGACTGGACATTGGGTCTTTGCCAAAGCAGCCAGATCTATGCATCAGCGGCACTGTCTCTAGGGGGGCTCTGTGAGAACCAGCCGCATGGCGAGCTCTGCCCAGCAGGGAAAGTTCTGCAGAGTAAGGTGCTGAGTATGAGGCGATAAGTATGTGCGAGTGTGTGGCTGACTGCCCCTTCTGGGGGAGAGACAGGGCTGTGGCACCGTGGGCTGCCTCAGTCAGCCCTGGGGCTGCCCATTCTGCCTCAGGGGGCCAGATAAGGTCTCTAGCACCCCCAGAGTTTCTCATGCCATCACAAGTAAGGATAGGTGAGCCCAGATCGTGTCGTGGCCCATCAGAGCAGGTGGGGGGAAATAAGAATAGGGGGAGACTTGCTCCATACCCCTGCAGCCACAAGCCCTGTGAGTGTAGGGGAAAGAGCCCAGGATTCCTTATCGGCCCTGCCACGGACTCATTTTGGGAGCTTGCATGAATCCCATTCCTGTTCAGGCCACAGCTTCCTCATCTGTCTAGTGACTGAGGGGTTCCTTGTGCCCAGCACAAGTCTGGGTACACAGTAGGATCTCAAACCCAGCTTGATGCATAGCTTGAGTGAATAAATGGGCTTCTGGATTAAAATTTTTAAAAACCCTGTTGCCAAGGGGTGGAAGAAGGCAGAGAGCATCTTGCTGCCTGTAAAGCAGGCCCCACTGTTCCATCATTCGTTCTGTGAGGAAATGGCAGCTCAAGGTCACTCATTTGACTTGGACTGTGAGCTCCAGCGGCTGGATACCCAGAACTCTTCACCTCTACCCTCCACTCATGCCCACAATGATGGAATCAGAATCTCTAGGAATTTCTATTTCTAAAAAGCTCCCTAGGCAATGTTAATGTAATGTTAATGCCTAGCCTCCTGCAGAAAAGAGCCTTGGGGACAGCTATCCCAGGCAACATTTAATGGCCAGTTTGGTTTTGAGCCTTCTCTTAGAGCTCCCTGGAGCAGAAACCAGCCTGGACATCCCATACTAGCCCATAGTAAGTGATCACGAAATATTTGTGCAACAGTCCCCCAGCGTATGCCATGGTCTGGTGTGAGCTCGCCCCTTCTGGAGATTGTATTTTTTTTAAAGATTTTATTTATTTATTTGAGAGAGAGAGAAGGAGCGCACAAACAGGAGAAAGGGGAGAGCAGAGAGCCCCCGATGCGGGGCTCGATCCCAGGACCCTGGGATCATGACCTGAGCCGAAACCAGACGCTCAACCCACTGAGTCACTCAGGTGACCTCAGACAGCACATTTGAAAGAGATGTGCTGTAGGATGGAAGCACAATTCCAGCCTTGAGAAATCTGGTTCGCTGGAGCCTAAGCCTTTAACCTTGACCACCAGAACTGACTCTGTGTGGAGCCTTGGCCTCTCCCCGGGTATGACAGGCGTTAAGGAAGCAAGAGATTACCCCCAAATGGGGCTGGGAGGCTCCACCTCTGGCTAGCACTTCCTGTATCCTGAGGAGAGGAGAGAAAGCTCAGCAGGCCACTTCTCCCCAGGGACTCAATAGACACAGAAACACAAAGCCCAGGGATCTCAGTTGCCATGGTAACAGTGGGACCTACTTGGAAGAAAACACTCTGCTGAAAAGCTCCGGGAGGGTGGGTATTTCCTTTGACAGAGGGCGGGCTCTGACTCGCTCCTGACATCCTCTCTCCCCTTCCTGCCTGTCACCCAAAGCGGGGGCCCTCACCTCAGCGACTCCCCTGAGACAGGGGTGCCAGAAAGTAGGGTCCCGACTTTTTATTTTGCTCTTGCTGTGGGCTGTTAACAGGAGAAAGAAGCTCAAGGGGAAGGTGTCAGAGTGTGAATTCATGGCACTTGTCCTCTGTTCTAAGGAAGCCCTGTTTCATGAGACCCCCCCCCCAACAAACACACAAACCAAACTTGAGGAGGGCAAGTGCCCCCCAGCAATTGCAGTTCTACCTGTTTCTCACCACTTAACCATGGACACAAGAACCATAGAGAATGTCCAAAAGTTCCAGACTTCTCCCCCACAGTGCAGCCTCTCTTCATCTCTCACCTGGACTACTGAGGTAGCCTCCCAGCCAGTCTCACCAACTTCTAGTAGTCTCTACCCCCTTCTAATCAATCCACCTTCCCATACACTTCGGGGTGGGGGGGTGGGCATGGTTCTTTGAACACACAAATCTGATCCTGTTGCTCCTATTCAAAAACTTTTCAAGGGCTCTCCTTCCTCTATTAGAAGACTTGACACCTGATTCTGGCACTCTTCATTGCTTGGTCATAAACTACCCATGCCATCATTCTTCCCTCTTACATTCAGTTCAAACCCCAGACATCCTGAGTTACACTCCCTTCTTTCCTTATGTACCATGCCCTTTCATGCCTCCGGGCCTTTGCATGCCCTATATTCTGCCTTAAGAATTCATCAGCACTCCTGGCCCCACTCCAACTGGCTATCTTCTCAGCTCAAAGCCCACTTCTGCCACAAAGCTGCCTTCACTTCCCAGACAAACTCTTGCCCTTCTGAGCCTTCCCTTGCCTCCCTGCCCCCGACCCTTCTGTGAAGCTCAAGTTCCAGCTGGGAGTGGAGGCTGGTTCACGATCCCAAGTAGATTTGTTGCTGCGAGGCTGCTTGCTGTTTAGTGTGAGAACATGCACTCATCCCCCTTGCAAGTGGGGCCTACCTTGGCGGTAGACTTTGGAAGGAGTACTGGTCTCCTAAGTTCTGGCTGAGGGCTGAGGGTAGGCAAGCACTGTGTTCCCCCACATCCCAATCAAGCTGGAGGTGTGGACAGTTGGAACGAGTTGAATAAGAGAAAGCAAGTGTTTGCAAAGCTTGTTGTTCATTCCCAACTGACCACCTACTGGTGGCCCCCATCTCGCTCCCTCTCAGTGGTGTGGTGGAGAGGAGCCTCCACTGGCCTTGAGGATCACACAGATCTGCCTTTGAACCCAGGCTCTGCCACTTCCTTGTTGGATACCCTTGGGTTGGTTATTTCACCTCTCTAAGCCCCATTTCCATTTTCTGAAATTAGAGATACTAATAGTATACACTGGCAAAATAATTGATATGAACCAACAACAATAAAAATTGCTAATACTTATTAGCACTTATTACTTCTTGGGCACTAAGTGCTTTCCATTTTTATCTCACTGAATGATTACAACAACCATATAAAGTAGGTATTGTTCTTAGTCCCCATTTGGCGGGTTAAGAAATGGTTTGGAAATGGGGGCGCCTGGGTGGCTCAGTCGGTCAAGCGTCTGCCTTCAGCTCAGATCATCATGCCAGGGGCCTGGGGTTGGTGCCTAGGATCGAGCCCAGCGTTGGGCTCCCCGCTCAGCTCGGCGGGAAGCCTGCTTCTCCCTCTCCCACTGACCCCCTTCCCTGCTCATGCACTCGTGCACTCTCTCTCTCAAATAAATAAATAATAATTAAAAAAAAAAAAGAAATGGCATGGATAGTTTAACTTGCACAATGCCATAGCACTAGCATGCAAGTGCTGTGAGCCCTCCAGTAATACGAGGCCAGCAGAGCAGGAGAGCGCCAAGATCCAGGGCAGGGGCCTTAATCTCTTTCAAGTCGAAGATCCCTCTCAGCAGTTTGGTGAAGCCGCTTCTCAGGATAATGTGTTCAGGTGCATAAAATAAAATACATGGAATTACAAAGGAAACCAATCATACTGAAACAGTTCTAAAATGTTTTTAAGAAATTGTGGTTGAGCTATACCACTGCTTTAATAAGGCATCAAATCACAAGAGTTAGTGGCATGGCTAGAGGTAGAAGTTTCAAAGAGATGACGAGCATATATCACTTTTTTTGGAGATACAACTGTAATGTGACATGATGT